ATTTCAGGACACACACACCTTTGCGGATTGTTAGGTTAGATTAGCATTCTCTCCTGAAGTTGTTGCATTATGCTGTTCTTCTCCAGAGGGTGTGTGTATGTTTTTGTTGAGCTTGTTTATGTGGCATGTTGAGGCAGCAAAAGAGAGGGTAATGTTGGTAAGGATAATGTCCTTTCCCAAACAGCAGAAATTAGAAGTTAGCTTAATCTGACAAGAAGAAGAATCTGTCTAGAATCTAACCTGTCATTAGAATAACTGTTGTATGGAAACAATAGAGGTTTGTGGTATGGTCACATTTAGATAATTAGGTAAAATACTCTTTAGGGCTGGGTATATGGATTTCCAAATTTGATGAAAATGTACAGCGTCAGTGTGATTCAGTATAATTCTCAGGACATTATCCTGGTGCACTACACATTACGTTGTGATATGCTGCCATCTGGTGGATATGTATAACTGTTGCAGAATGGAAATGGTATACAATACCATTCAAATGTTTTGGGGTTGTAAGAATTTTTAAAATATATATATTTTTAAAAGGCTCGTGCTTATTAAGGATGCATTTATTTAATCAAAGATACAGTAAACACTGTAAAATTGTGAAATAATATTTACAATTTAGGCTACAGCTGTTTTCTATTTAAATATATTTTAAATAGTTATTTATTCCTGTGATGGCAAAGCTGAATTTTCTGTAGTCGTGACTCCAGTCTTCAGTGTCACATGATCCTTCAGAAATCAATCTAATATGCTAATATGGTGCTCAAACATTTCTTATTATTATCAATGTTGTGTAGCTTAATATTCTCATTGAAATGAGATATATTTTTCTTCATGGTTTTTGAAGAAGGTTCAAAAGAACAGGATTTATTTAAAATGTAAATCTTTTGTAACATTATAAAATGAGTTGTCACCTTTGATCAGTTTAATGCATCCTTAGTGAATAAAACTCCAGCTTTTGAACAGTAGTCTATGTAACTCGGCATTTTGTGATGATCATATTGAGAGGAGTTTGATTTATTTTAGAGATGCACCAATTGCATTGCAATTTTCTTGGCCATTTCCGATTTCGGTTTATTTGTTTATTTTGTGACCTGCCGATATTTTGCTGATTCCGATTTTCTTTCTAAGAACTATAATTGATAGGATACTGTGTAGCTTAATATTCTCATTGAAATGAGATATATTTTTCTTCATGGTTTTTGAAGAAGGTCCAAAAGAACAGGATTTATTTGAAATGTAAATCTTTTGTAACATTATAAAATGAGTTGTCACCTTTGATCAGTTTAATGCATCCTTAGTGAATAAAACTCCAGCTTTTGAACAGTAGTCTATGTAACTCGGCATTTTGTGATGATCATATTGAGAGGAGTTTGATTTATTTTAGAGATGCACCAATTGCATTGCAATTTTCTTGGCCATTTCCGATTTCGGTTTATTTGTTTATTTTGTGACCTGCCGATATTTTGCTGATTCCGATTTTCTTTCTAAGAACTATAATTGATAGGATATACAAACAAAAATCTACCTTTTTCAATGCAAAATAATTATTTACATAATAAAATAAATTATTAAACATTACAATTCCCCCAATCTGTACTAAGATACAGATGTTCTCTCACTTAAACAACTCTGAAAATAAAGTGCTCTGTAACTGGAAAGTGGTAGAAATAATTAACTGAAAATTAGTTGCTGAATGTAACAAAACAGAACTGTTACCATTCAGATGAAATCAGTATCAACAAACTCAATATTACCACTGCAGGAAACACAGAAGTTGCATAATGACATTAGATGTATTTACACTTTTTGAGCATACAAATAAGAAATGTTGGGAGAAATGCAATGATACTTTCAAATATGAAACCAAACCACCAGTAGGTGGCGTCAAATGTTTTAATGAGTGAGTCATTTAGTTATTCATTCAACTGATTTGTTCAAATGGCTGATTCATTCAGAAAGGAGGCAAGTGACTGTATTTATGAATGGGTTACTGAATCATTGACTCACTCGATTTGTTCAAACACCACTGTGTGTTGCTCGGAGACACACAACAGTTCTAATGGGGCTTTGATTGGAACAATTTTCTTTGCGAAATTGAGCAAAAACCGTCAATATTGTGTGTAAAATGTAAGTAACTTAATTTTAACTTGTTAAATTGAGCAACTTGTATAAAATCAGTGTCACATTGCAATCGTGTTGATATTCGGGGAAACATCTTTGTTGTGTAATGTTGCTCACCTACATCATATATTGTGAAAATCTTTTTTTTTTTTTGTATCTATGTATCTATAACTTTCTTTAGTTATTTTGTGTGCTGATGCTCTCATTTCTAGTTATTTAAAAAAATCTAAGCTAAAATATAGTTATTTTTGTTATTGACATTTTAACCAGGCCTCTTTGTCCGGTCGGCCAAGTAAAATTCTCTCTCACTCGCCCCTTTAACCTACTTATCCCAAACAAGCGTTAATCGAGCCCTGTGATTCCCCCACGGTTTACTTTGGCCATACACGTATTATTTTTCACTTAATTTACATGATTAAAATACGTTTCTCCCCAGGCTGGCACAAATGGCTCGATTAGTTCCGGCTTTGATGAAGGTCCACCTTCTGAAAAACAAAATGTGTTGTGATTGGTTAGCTGTCCCAGTGCGTTGTGATTGGCGAACAGCTTAGACGGTGTTTCAGTACTGCCACGCCCCCTTGCTCCGTCTTTCAACACAAGCTTTTGGGCGAATCCGGCACTAGTGTTCTCCCTCATGTTGTGGAAGCTGTCCTCAGTAAAATGCGCAGCACGCAATAGCAAATTGGGGTTATAATGCTCAGGGACAGAGATAAAAAATAAATTGCAACCCCTGTTGGTAACACTTTACTTGAAGGGGTGTGCATAAGACTGACATGATACCTTCATAATCATGACATGACACATGTCATGAATATGAAGGAGGTTTTATGCATGTTTGTGACAACTGTCATTAAGTGTCATTCCCTCAGTTATGTCATTTTTAATGCAAATATGACATTATTTGACCTAACTCTACCCCTACCCTTACCCCTAACCATAGCCCATAACAAAGACATCTCAAACAATGTCATCTTTATGTCATCAATGTCAGTAACCCCACTGTTTCCTGACATCATCCGCTTTCGGAAGCCCAAACAAAGACGTTTGGGCATGGAGGTGAAAAAAACAGCGTTTCAGGCGGTCGCGCAGCGTCGCATCACATCTTTAAAATTCAAATGCATTATTTTCTATGAGTGTAGGCACACCGGCGGCACCGTTCGGCGTCTGTCCACGGTGCACAGCTATGTCGTGTTATACTTGTAAGAATTGTTCTAGACATGCCGAAATTTTTACGCTGCAGCACAGCAGCTCTTCTTCTTGGTTTTCTCTGATGCACTAACTCTGCAGCAGCACTTCTTCTTCGTCGTCTCGTCTGATGCACTCACTCAACCAAGCGTTCTAACCACAACCTCGCCCCTCCCCACCCCCCAACCATTCGAATTTCTGTAGGCGGGAATTATTTGATGATTATAATGATATTCCAATGAGCCGCTTTGTGATATCACAAAGCTTGGAAACAAACGCTGTAGTCCAAACGAGCCATTCGCTGTAGTTCTTGAAAAGGGATTTTTAAAAAACAAAATATCTCCCTTTGGAGTGGACTTTGAGATTTGTAACTTTCTAGATCTTTTTTATGCCCAAACATACACACTACACACTGACTAAAATTAAAAAAGTGAAAAAGCATAATAGGACCCATTTAACTTACTGTCAATATGTGTGATTTTAAACCTTCAAGAATTTGTTAGGCAGAGCATGACACGCTATTACACCTGTAACGACAGCTTCTGACCAGCAGGTGCCTCCCTTCCTCAATAGCTGCAACAACCGGTGTGCTCAAATGTGGATATGTGCAGGAGTAGAACGGCTTTTTAGATGGTGTATGAAGATTGAGCTGTCAGCAGATATGACTGACAGCTGCCCTTAGGTGGTATCTCAGATGATTATCGGGTAATGATGTGCTGTGACACCCAGACAGAAGCAGCAACAGTTGCTGTGGGAGATGGTTATCTGAGGTCTGAGACAGCACGTTTAGTTCACACACGGCAAATAAATATACAGACAGGTTTTGCTTGTGTTCCTTGTTTGCGTGGTGACTCACACTCCCTCTCATTCCTCCCACTTCTGCACTCAGAGACGGAGTTCTAAATATAATCTGCTTGTCTGGTTTATGAAATGCTAGTCTAAAACCCTTCTATCTCAAGACTATCAAACCACTGTGCATTTCTTGTGTTGAGCAGTGAAACATTAGCAGCCAGAGAGACTCTAAGCAGCACCTTTACCATATATGGCAGATGCAGATGCAGATGCACGCATGGTTATTCACCTAACGGCTCTTTGGTGAAGCATCTGCATAGAACAGACTTTTGTGTGCACATGCATATCGACAGAGGCAGAGTGAGTAAGTGTTTGTGTGGGTTCAGGTGTGGGGGAAGGAAGTGTACAGTGTGTGTGTGTGTGTGTGTGTGTGTGTGTATGCATGTGTGAATGTTTGGGATAATATAGTTGCATATTATTAGTTTCAAATGGATTCACAGCACCTTAAAGGAACAATCCACAAAATAAGTATTCCGTCTTCATTTACTCACCCTCATGTTGCTCCAAATCTATGGGACTTTCTTTCCTTTCTTTTGTGCAACATAAAAGAAGATTTCCTAGATATGATTAAATTTTTTGTCCATGCAATGAAAGGAAAAGGTGTGTACATGACAATGAGCGTATGTTTTCAAGTTATTGGTTGATTCTGATCTGCATATATGATAGGTTTTTGCGTCAGAGGAAGCATGCTTTGTCAGTAGAATCATGCTGCTGTCTGTGATCCCCCCCCCTCTCTCTCACCAGCTCTCTTTTTGACCCTCCCACTCTCTTAGGGCACACTGCATGCTCTCTCTTTCCCCATCCCCAACCTCCTTTATGTCTCCATTCTCCTCTTTCTCTCTTACTCTCTTCCCCCCTCTCTCTTGCTTTCTCTAAAAGTTTCTGGTGAGGAAAGGAGAAGACGTTTGGATGATTTTGACTCCTCCATCAGGTTGTACATTTACATGACTCTTCTCTTTTGAGAGCTTGATTTTGAGGTTTAGTTGATCTGGAGTTGTAGAGTGCAGTGCTGTGTCCTTTAGACTGTGATTTGTGCTAACGGTGCACGTGTGTGAGTGAGACATGAGGGTTATTAGGGGAGTCTGGTGATTCTCGAATCATCTGTGGCTTAGTTACAGTGACTCTAATCTCATTGCTGTCTGATTCTGTCATCAGCTGTTGCTGCTGTATTTTAACAGCATTGTGTTGTATTGTCCTGTGGTTTGTAGTTGTTTAAAGCCAGGTGTCGTAATCTGTATTATATTTGTTTCAGAGCGAAAATAAGATATTGCAGGCTGCTGTTGTTAGCAGAACTTTTCCTAGCCTTGTGAGTGAAACTCTAAAAATAGTGCACTTATGCATGCACCCTTGTGTTTGTGTATGTTAATAACAGTGGTGGACAGTAACTAAGTAGTTTTACTTCGTTACTGTACTTAAGTACATTTTTCAAGTATCTACTTTATTGGAGTAGTTTTATTTTGAGTAACTTTTACTTTTACTTCACTACATTCCAAAGCATAAGATCGTACTTTTTACTTCACTACATTTCATAAAACTTATTACTCATTATAATATATCACGTGCTCCGAGACGCAGAAGCCATGTCTGATTCATGAACGAACTGATTCTGTTCAATGAACCCGTTAAATCGGTTCGCAAATCGCACCAAACGATTCATTCACAAATTGGAATGATCCGATTGCAGCTGTTCTCGAGTCGACAACTCAATGATTCAAATGATCCGTTTAGTGCGAGTCTCCAGTGAACTGAATTCACAAGTAACAACCGGGAGATCTTGTGAGCATGCGCTAATGTCGAATTTTAGTATTAATGATTGTAACTGAAAATCATATTTAGGTCAAAGTTGTCAGTTGTTTGTGAACTAAATCTGCTATAAAGGGTGATCTGTTAATGCTTGGATGCAGACACATTAACATCAGAGTCTCTATGTTTTAGGTCAAAAAACATTAAAATAACACAGATTAAATAAAAGAACTCATGCACGTTCATCTTCCCCGCTGCTGTAAATTAGCAGTTTTACTAAAATGCTATGCATTTAGCCCTATGTGATGTCTGTTTTTATATTGTTTGTCAGCACACATAGCCTAAGTTACTATGTATCTGGATCAACTAGCCGAGTAGACAAATATTTATTCATAACCATAATGTAAATAAGTCAATAATGTTAGGTGATGCTATCTGTCTAGCTTGCTGGATTACATCTAAGGGAAAAAGAAAGGATGTGTTGTTCAGAATATGGTAACTACAGTAATTATCAAAGTGGGAAGTGATGCCCTCTGGGGGCATTTGTCCAGGGGTGTTTTTACACCACAGACAAGGTTTGAGAAGAAAAAAATCATTATGAAAATCTAATTATATTTTCCTTATTATATTCATTATTTCCTTATTGGTTATTTTGGGAAAATCCCAGGTATTTTGAGCAGTAGGATTATAAAAAAATATATGCTAATATAAAATTAAATGATAAAAGTGGCCTATATAAAACTGCAAAATAAACATTCATCTATCGGTACTTTTTACTTAAGTACATAAAAAATCAAGTACTTTCGTACTTTCACTCGAGTAAAATTGAAAATGGAGTACTTTTACTTTTACTGGAGTAATATTTTATTATACGGATCTGTACTTTTACTCAAGTACTTGATTTGTGTACTTTGTCCACCACTGGTTAATAAGACACTTTGGTACAGTTTGAAAATAAAGGAAAGGCTTTTAACAGAGTCAAGTAAATTATTAAACTACTGTGTTTAAAGGCCACTGATTGTGTGTGTGAGGGAGACATAGAGACTGTCATTTCTAGCATGCTGACAAAGAGATAACTCCTCATTGCAGACTAGATATTTATTTATTTAAAAAAGAGAATAAATTTGACTGTACATTCTGATTGCATGAGCTGCATCTAAAGCCTAATATGCAGATATATTGTACATGTAAGCAATATGGAATGAGAGGCTGTGCTATAGTACTGCGAATATAGTCATTGCAAAAGACCACTGATAGGAATGACACGTAGCAAAGTGTTTTCATCAAGATTAAATTGCGATTTTTACCATGGATAAGTTGTTTTTTTTGGCACTTCTAAATGGGATTTTGAGTACAACTGTGAGCACACACAGTTGGTGGAAAGTTCTACTAAAGAAGACGATGAGAGCAGACTGAATGAATGAATGAACGGTTACAGCATGGGAAGAAATGAGAGAGGAATAGAAACTCAGACAGTGTTCAAAACTGAGACATGACGTGACAGCAACACTCATAGCACATATACTCGGCTACTCAAAGTACAGGATTAGTAAATTTCATGTTTTAGAAACTAATATATGACTAATTACATTTTCTTGACATGTTTATGTGCACATTTTTAAAAGCAAAACACTTTTGAAATGTTCATTAGTCTTTTGTGTGTGTTTGTGTGTGTGTGAACATCTTTAGTAATATTATTTGGATTTTGACTAATCAAACTTTACCTAGTTTTACATACCATGGATAAGTTTTTTTTTTTGGCACTTCTAAATGGGATTTTGAGTACAACTGTGAGCACACACAGTTGGTGGAAAGTTCTACTAAAGAAGACGATGAGAGCAGACTGAATGAATGAATGAACGGTTACAGCATGGGAAGAAATGAGAGAGAGGAATAGAAACTCAGACAGTGTTCAAAACTGAGACATGACGTGACAGCAACACGCATAGCACATATACTCGGCTACTCAAAGTACAGGATTAGTAAATTTCATGTTTTAGAAACTGTAATATATGACTAATTACATTTTCTTGACATGTTTATGTGCACATTTTTAAAAGCAAAACACTTTTGAAATGTTCATTAGTCTTGTGTGTGTTTGTGTGTGTGTGAACATTTTTAGTAATATTATTTGGATTTTGACTAATCAAACTTTACCTAGTTTTACCTATATTTGTTATGGATTAATCCATTTATCAGATGCTTTCAATCCAAAATTGGGGTAATTGAGGGCAAAAAAGGAGCAAATATTCTACCTCTTAATTTTGATTCTCAGTCACCATGCAGACATATGCATAGGAGTGGGCGATATGGCAAAAATATATCACACTTTTTTTTCAGGAAAATCACGATTCATGATTTTATCACAATTCTTTGTCATGTTGGTTTTATTATTTTGCAAGTTGAGCAGTACAGCCAAACTAGTTTCTCTATTTTAAAAACAAAGCCGTACAAATAAAAAAGAATGGCAGATATTTAGGACAAAGTGGACGAAGATAAAAATGTTTGTCATTATTTTGTTATTAATAAAAATACACATTATAAACAAACAGACAGTGCCTCCTTACAGGATGTGTATTTAGCAGTAGCATTAACTGTGTGTACGTTTCACTGTATAAATTATACATTGATCCTTATTAAAGCAACTGTATTAAAGTTCTTCAGTCAAGAGCAGTTAGTGATTTTTCTCTTTGTTTTGTTATTTTATTAACATTAAAGAGAGAGCTCACCCAAACATGAAAATTATTTTATCATTTGCTCACTCTAATGTTGTTTTAAACCTGAATGAGTTTCTTTCTTCTGTTGAACATAAAAGTTATTTTGAAGATTGTGGGAAACCAAATAGTTGCTGGTCCCCAGTGACTTCCGTAGTATTTTTTTTCCTACTATCAAAGCAACTGTTTGGTTACCCACATTCTTCAAAATATCATCTTTTTTGTTCAGCACAAGGAAGAAATTAATACAGGTTTGTTTGGGACAACATGAGAGTGAGTAAATAATAACAGAATTAAAATTTTTGGGTGAGCTATCCCATAAGCGGTAGCATGTTTAATACTGTTAGTCTGCTGTCACTTTAAGACCTGCACGTATATAGTATAAAGGCAAGCATCCATTTTTATCAACTGCTTACTTTAACTTTAGACATAACCAACTGTGTTTATATATAAACCTTGTGTGTTTTTGACAGCATTAGCGTAGTCAGACACGAAAGATAACTTAGTCCAGTAATCAGGCACTGTTTGACAGGTTTTAGTGTGCGCACACTTCAGGTGTACAAGCTCAGAAACAGCGCATGTCAGAACAGCATGCAAATGAAATGTTTAACTGGCAAGGCTTTAAAGCACATGCAAATAATGTGCTTTTGTGATTGCGAAGTGCAGTGTCCTGTAGGGTTGGGTATCGTTTGGGTTTTTCTCGATACCAGTGCCAAATCGATACTTTTAAAACGGTTCCGGTGCCTGAACAGATACCTATTGAAAGAAGAAAAAAAAAATCCCCTCAAAAAATGATGGATTGGCGGGGTTTGTGGGCAGGGCTTCACCTAACAGTATACGTAGCAAGGTTTTTTTTTTTTTTTTTGCTTATTTTGTTTTTATAGTAAGTAAAAAGAAAGAAAACAAGTAGAAAGAATAGGGAAAGCTAGTGTTAGAGGGTCGAGAATAGAAGTAGAATAGAGAGTGCAAATGTTAGAGGGTCAAGTTTTTTAATAAAAAAAAACAAGCAGATAAAATTAGAAGTAGCATTAGAATAGAGAGTGCTAGAGTTAGAGGGTCAAATGAAGATGAAAGAGATGTGTTTTCAGCCGTTTCTTGAAAATATTAAGGACTCAGCTGCTTGGATTGAGCTGGGCAGGTCATTCCACCAGGAGGGAACAGTTAATGTAGAAGACCATGAAAGTTTTATCATGGGTAGAATGCAAAATGTTTCAATGCAAGCATTTCAGTCAAATGTAATTTATGCAATATTTCAAACCTTTAACCCACTTGGGAAAATCAACCCATGGCAAAAGTAGCCCAATTCTGTGGAAAAAACACGGACTTAGCGACCCTGCATCCAACAAGAGCTACCGGAGTCAGCTTTGACTGATCACAGGTCGAGAATAAGGAGAGATGACTGACAAGACCATGCTGGAGTATACGCTTAACAGATTCTGAGCTCATTGACAAATATCTGATCTTGTAAGATGTG